TGGCTGTGTCGTGTGTGGTGTTAGCCATGTAAGATCGAGTGTTCTGCCGAATTGATTTTGGGAGTACAGGGACGGGGAATGGCATTTGGGTGGGTTCTGATTGCTTCCGCTGTGGATAGAATGTGGCTGCTAATTCTCTTAGATCGACGGCTGTGAATTAAATAGAGGGATCAAAACGCTGCGTCCCCGAATAGATCAAGAGTGAAAGCGGAATTATCATGTTCAAGCTACACGACAACGGTTATCAAAAGATGCAATAACACTGAAACTATCCGAACACTTTGGCAACTAACCAGAAAACAACGATGTGAACCAATTGCAACGTCCTTGATCGGTGGAAAGAACCCCTAGAACTTTTATGAAACTAGCCGAGGCCATGATAGGTCATAGAAGTCTGCAGAAGTAGTAGAAGTGGCATTCCTGCGGCAAAGTTTTTCCATTGTTCAATCACAGCATTTTACGATATGGTATAACCTGTCAGCGAGGAGTGGTATTCTGCTTTTAAGATGTAAAGTTTTATGTACAGAATGCATTAGATTTCAGTTACCTTCTATTTAACCTTACCCAGTGATCGGGTCCTAATGGATTTATTACGACATCTACATTCGAAACAGCCAACAGTGTAATAATGAATCCACTCTGTTTGTAATTGTGTTTCAGTGCATTACAAATGCTGAATGACCTTGAAGAGAAAATGATTCGACTGGTTCAGCTAATGCACACTTTACCGGATGATCAAATCAAATCGTTACTTCAGGCAAAAGAGAAAGAGCACCGTGTACAAGTGAAAGAGCAGAAAAAACAAGAACAACGCATGCACCAAGAAGAACGCGTACACCGTGCCCTGGAAAGAGCCAAAGCCGAACCGAAGAAAGTGGTACGTGTATCCACCTAGCTAGGCTATTAATCTCACATACCATCCTTCCGTCAGGTTGTTGATGTATGTATGCATGTATGTATGTATGTATGTATGTATGTATGTATGAATCGAATGCATGTATGTATCGAGTCGGAACGACCAATCCGTGAATTCCGGGGAAAACACATATGCGATATCCTTAAGGTAAAAGCTTCACCAAATCCATCGTGCAGTTGCTTCATCCCTGTTGAAAACCATGAGCAAGGCATATCTACCGAATCCACTTGAAGAAAACCGGAAGTTCTATAATTTGTCAGTTGTGTTCCACAGTAAATATTATCATCGTTTTGATACCCTGTGAGTGGTAGTAGTGGTGGGAAATTCAAGAGGTGTAAGGTTTTGGCTGTTTGTGTACTCGAACTCCGCCAATCGTACACTGTTTCATTATTTTCTGTGTCAATTTTCAAATGCACACATCTTTTCTGAACAGTGCTTGTACGTTTGGTGTACATCGACTATGTGAAAGTAAAGAATAGTTCACATTTGACTCACCGTTACTTGTGAGTGATGGGCTGTTAAGTAAACGTTTTTCCCTGAGCTACACGCTTAATGGTCAAAACTTGGAGCAAATAAAAGTTTTATGGTATACCAGGCACACTTATCATGTAGCGAGTAAACGAATTCCCATAGAGTGAAAACCACATGAAACACATGATAAATCTATACGCAATGTCTAATATTTGTGATAAAAACGGCTAATATAGATCTGACAACGTAGAATGATGTTTCTGTTGGTTCTACCTATTGTTGAAGTAAAATGTACGCATAATTTACATGAGTAAATTTGCATACTTTGAGAAAGAGTGTACATTTCTTAGCCGTTGGCTCTTAACACATTCCTTACACACCGGTTTTTCCGCTTGCCTAACTGATTGAACCGACCAGGAATAAAACATTGGAGGGCGGTGCAACACGTAACAGTGACTCATTCACATGCGGTGTCCAACCCCCTAAATCTTTCCTTTCGACTGGTTTGCGTTGAGCTTCGAGTGAGCATTCTGCACAAAAGGGACGTGATGAGTCACCGCGATCGGAATTTCCCAGCCATTTTCTTTCATGTGTCTTAACGTACGCGCACATAACCATGCCGGTGTCTGTGTGTGTATACATATCCGTTCACATTACATAGATCTGGCAAATCATGTACCCACTGCTGACCTTAAACGGTAAGCAAGCTCTTCTAGTCAACATTTCTGGCAGAACACACCGCACCCACTCACTCCCACCCACCACTCCAAGGCTGCCAAATACTGGCGCACAGAATGACAGCACACTGATCCTCCATAAATCCATTGGCATGTTTGGAAAATTACGGAATGACAACAGCCGTTCGCATGAGACAAGAAATTATTCTGTTGATGCAAATTTGCGAGCATAGTACACCGTGATGTGTGTGTGTTTGTTTTTCGAGCAGAGTGTCTGTCTGAATGCAATTTTTCATGAGCGCCGTGGAGGATTTTGTTTGATCATACGGGAAATTCGGTCATGTGCATGGTAAATAAGGTGTGAGCTGAAAAGCTAGGAAGCAATGGACAGCTGTTTTGACCCCATTGGGTTTCATCAGCAATACGAATCCATCGATCCAACTGTGGGTTGATCCCGGGACCCCACGCAAACATACCATCCACTCGGCCACCGGGCAGCAAATAAGACCATTCTTCATTTTGCCTATGCGTATTATAGCAGAACCCATCTTTATTCGGGTGGAGGGGTGATTATTGTACTGATCAAATTACAGCACGAAACAGGTGTTTTATGCTGGTTCCGGGTGAAATGTAATGTTTACTTTTATCGCCAACACCTAGATTAAAAGAGTCGTGAACAATTACCTTGTGATCTTCAAATGCAAATAGCGCACTAAACAGTGA